ACCGCCTTGTGGTGGGGAGCTTCGGCCCCGTGGCACCGCCTTGTGGTGGGGAGCTTCAGCCCCGTGGCACCACCTTGTCCCGCAGAGTAATCTTCCTGGTCCCCCGAATGCAGCGCCACTTTACCTTGGTGCAGCTTCAGAGCCCAAATCGGGCCTGAGCACTGTCCCTGTGACACATGAGCGGGTGCACAGGGCCTGCCCACGAATGCCTGAAGCCCTGGCTGGTGAGGTCTCCCGCCATGCAGCCCTGTGCCTCCCAGCGTAGGTCAGATCTGCAGCCGAGGCCTCACTGGAGCCTTGGGGACCTGGCCTGCCCCACGCTCCGACCTTTACTGTGGTTGTCTCCTGATTCGAGCACTCTGGTGTTCGTTTTTACAAAGGTTATTTTATTATTTATTTATTTATTTTACAAAGGTTATTTTAAAAAACAGAACTATTCTAGTTTTACCTGGGGTGGGGCTGTGTTTCTTAGCACTTGGAAGTTGAAGTCGTGTGCTACACACAGATGTCGCGCGTGGCTTGGTCTGGCTCCCTTCAGCGTCAGGATCAGAGTGTGCCCGGCGGGTTAGGGACCAATGCCTTAAGGGCAGAGTTCCAGCAGTCTGGACTGTGGTGCAGTTCAGCCTGAGGGGCGTGACCTGAGCTGCCCTCCGCCCCACGGCCTGGATGGATTATTTGCAAGCGTGTGTCGCCATTGTTAAGGAGCATCCACGCGGGCTGAATTCATGTGGACAGCCGTGAGGGCTCTGCAGATCCTGCAGAATCTACAGCCGGTAGCTCTGCTTTGGAGTTTATGCCTGGCTGAGACCACAGAGGCACTTGACCTTGAAATGTAGGCCCGAGGTCAACAGCGGGAAAGGTCAGAGAAGGGGGTTGGGCTGCAGAGCGGCCACCAGTGAGGCCTTTGGGGCCCCGTCGGAGCTGTGTGGGGATGCAGGCAGCAGCTGGCAGGCGACTGGATTCAGACTAACCAGGAGAGCCCGAAGGGCAGTCCTGGTCTGGCAGCACATTGCCCTCAGGCCTGTGACCCAGCTCAGCCACTGCGGGCGGCCTTGGGCTCACAAGGGACGACCTCTGCTCACTTCCCCCTCCCGCAGCTGGAAGTCCGCAGGGGCGCCTTTGAGGAAGCCATGTGTTTCGCTGGGGGCTGGCGCGGGCACGTTTCCATTCTCTGGGGCCTCGGGGTGACCCCTGGCCTGCTCTAGGAGCCGCTGGAATTAGGAGTCGCCAGGATCCCATCCTTCAGAGCCAGCTGCTCCACGACAGAGTGCGCAGGCCCCTGCACGCTGTCCCCCGACTCTCTAGCAAGGTCGGGCCGTGCGCCAGGCTCCTCCCGGGCTGCAGTCCCTGTTGCCTGGCTGCGCCCTGCCTTCTTAGCTGTGCGCGAGTCCTGGCCGAGCCTCTGCGCTCTGCGCATGCCCAGCGGCACCCTCGGCTTCTGCCCACTCCCCCCCCCCACGCGCATTTTGTCCTCAGGTGCAGGCAGAGCTGCTGCCCCAGCTTCTGGGTTTCAGCTGTGCCCTGGCCGGGGCCAGCGCTAACCTCCTCGCTGTCCACCTGGGAGGTGGAGCCATGGAGACCAAAGAGAGCCCGGCGGGAAAGCTGCCCCACTCGGACGACAGGGGCTCTTGGCTTGAGAGGCCCGGAGCTCAGGCCCGCCCGCTGGGCAGTCGCCGCTCTCCATCCCTGGCGGCCGCGATTCCAGGGCAGCTTTCCCAGCCTTCTCAGCATCGGGTTTCCACCACTTCTACCATCCTGTGATTTCTCCTTTTAAGCAGAGCTGAGCTATTTTCCTCCGTATTTTACAGCTGCATTTTATAGCTTCAAAATTAAGATCCATTTGCCACTGAGCGGAAACTGTGAATCCGTTTTCTCTCTCGGGCACAGACTCTTAAAGGGTAGCTCCATCCTGTGGTGCGGGAAGACGGTCTGTGTGTTAGACAACTGTAGGAAATTCAGAATGTCACGATGATGGCAGCTAGCGCTTACGGAGCACCTGTTACCTCCTCCTGACCGTTCTCAGCGTTTCCCATGGTCCACCTTCTCTTAAGGATGGTTTCTGGTTCTTTTCTACTCATTTATTTGTTGCTTGGAGTTTTGAGATGGGGTCTTGCTTTGTAGTTCCGGCTGGCCTTGAGCTCATCCTGGCCCGGTCCAGGCCTCTAGACTTCTGCCAGCCAGGGCCCCAGGGGTCAGGTCTGGAGTTTACTGCTGGAAATCTGTGCGGTCCTGGTTGTGTTTCTGGTCTCCTGCTGTCCCTTGTCTAGAGATGGAGGTACTTCCAAGGTGTCGTGGGCAGGGGAGGCCCATCTGGGAGCTGTGCGGAGGGCTGACCCTGTGCTGGATCCTGGGGGAATGTGCGGAGTGTTTCCAGCCCCGGTGGGGACTGCAGCGACACCAGCCTGCCCGTGACAGCCTGGAACGTCCCCTCCTGCTGCCCTGAGCAGCAGCTGCTTGGGCCTGAGCTCCCGCTGGCCCTCAGGAGAATCACACTCTGAAGGCATGAAAACTTCGGTGCAGGCCTTGCAGAACACCCGAGGAGCAAGTCACAATCCTAGCCCTTGTGTCTCAAAGCTCTGCGCCTCTGAGTCCACAGTCAGTATTAACAGAAGGTGCATCCCAGTTGGGCTGCTGTAATAATTGAAGATGTCCCAAGCTGACATGCAGGGCCAGGGATGCTCTGCGGGGGTCCGGCTGAGCTCACAGCAGCCTCTAGGAGAGCGAGCGAGCGTCTACCCTGGATCCCCCCTGACCCGCGAGGAGTCGGACCCGGAGCCCCGCCCAGGAGGGCGAGGAGTTTCCCTGTGACTCAGCTTGACCTTCCTCTTCCTAGGCAATTGCCAGTCCTCAGGCTCTGTGTCTCCTGTCTCTTCTGTCTAGAAAGGGAGGGGATGGGCAGGAACGGGGAGAAGAGATGGGGGAGGGGGGGCACAGGGAGGCACTGGCAGAGGAGGGGGCGGGGCGGGGAATTCCCCCCCCCAGGAGCTCGGCTAGGTGTCGCAGGAGCAGCCTCGGCCGCCAGGTGGGGCCCGCGCCTCGCGAACGACCGCAGCCGCGAGGCCTCGGAGGCTGGGCTCCTCTTGGCCCCAGGCGCCTGCCTGAGTAGGCCGCTGGGAGCGAAGGGCAGAGGCGAGTCTGCTGCCCTGTCTGCTTGCTCTGAGGCCTCCCCCGGGGTGAGCACATTCCCGGCCCTGGCCTGGGGGTGAGCGGATGGGGCCCGGAGTGGAAGTGGGGACCCCGGGTTCCCCCCTGGCCGGGTGAGGGGAGCCGCTGCTGACCCCAGTGATGCTGCACCAGGCCTGCGAGGCCCGCCTCCCCACTTCCCTAGAGTCTGTGCCCTGTCGTTCCTGGGGCTCACTGCCCCAGCCACCCTCCCCCTTCCCAGGCAGAGCCCCAGGGACTCGGCCGCTGCTCTCCTGCTGGCTCTCTCCCTCCAACCCAGGCCCGGGGCCTGAGCCGCGAACCGGCCACCTCCCGCGTGCTTCCCAATCTGCTCCTCGCTGCCCCTCTGAGCAATGCCCCCCCTGATTGCCTGGTCCTTGACGCCAAGCTCAAGGACGGCTGGAGCTCGGTTCCCTTTTCTGCGACCAGCAACGCGTGGCCTCAGACGGGTGCCTGATACCTGCCTGTGCTCGGGCCTTGCTTGTCCATCAGCCACAAAACAGTGCCACTGCCTTTCATCTCTGCGGCTCCAAGGCCCAAGAGCAGGGCCTGCAAAGCTGTTTTGTTTTTCCTGGCTCTGGGGCTGGTGCTCCAGGGCTCCGCAGATGGGATGAGGCCTCCAATCTTCTGGAGAGGACGCGGGTAGAAGGCGCAGACCCTCGCTGCTCAGCCTGGCTCTGTTCCATACACAGCTGCAAGTATGGTACCCAGGGACAGAGGAGAACCTGCGGCACTTTCAAAGACAGCATGCAGCTGGCTGTGGCAGCACGCTCACCAACATAGGCGTTAAATAAACGCAGGTGGCGATGGCCACTAGGCCCTCGCTGGACACTGTCCCCACCAGGGCTGTTGGGCAGGAGTCTGCTCCGCCTCAGAAAGCAGCACAGAGTGACTCCTCCTTCCTGGGGGAGCCCCTCCTCCCCGCTTTGAGTCACTGTGTCCAGGCTCCATCCGTGAGTGCCCTGTCATGGGCGTGAGCACTTGGGCATTGTCCCTGGAACGCCCAAGCCTGGGCATGCAGGAGCAAAGAGCAGGTTCCTTCCACCCTCTACCGTGCTCTGTGCCACTCTGCACTGCATAAGAAGATGGAACTCAAGCTCTTCCTGGCCAGCGAGGCAGCCCTCTGCACGGCCACCGGGATGCGGAAGCCCTGCGGATGGCAGCCCCTTCCAGAGCTGGCTCAGCACTGCTCCTGAGAGCTGGCGGGAGGCGCTGCTGCACAGTGCAGCTGCAGGGTTGCCTGAGTGTGTCAGGAGCACGTGTGTCAGGATTCCTATGGTGGCCATGTGCGCGCACACACAGCTGCTGTCCTTAGTGGCTGTTTAGTTAGTGCCACAAAGCATGAGCCCTGGAGGGCATTAGGAAAGCTAGTGCAGACTCCCAGGCGGGCCTTGGCCCCAGGTCCAGGGGGCCGTGTAGCGCGGTGTCTCACGAGACTTCCAGGTCGTTGTTGAGGACCCAGCTTGTTCACTTGAGAAGCCCCGCCATTCTTGGCCTGTGCCCCCTGCAGGGCCGGGGCCTCCTCTCCTGAGCTGTTGTGATGCAGTTGGGAGGGGCTCAGTGAGTTCTCCAGCAGCCAAGCCCAACCCCAGTGTCCACGTGCTTGGCTCGAGCTCCTCCTGGAGACATGGGCTGAGTCCTGCCTAGAGTGGTAGGGCGCGGTGCTCTTGGGAAGCGTGCTGCCCCTGGTGCCACCCACACCTGCTAGCTCCTCACAGAAGGCAACTTCTGAGTGCTGTCCTGCACTCAGGGACTCTGTGGCGACATGGCCTCGCATGGGATGGGCTGAAGCATCTATCCTGCAAAGCTGGTCCTATTTGGCCTCCCTGAACCCTGCTGAAGCCTCATGAGGTGGGGTGAGTAGAAAAAACCCAGAGACAGAAGGTCTCCCTTGCAGCAGGACAGGAAAATGGCTCGGGACGCTCAGCTCCTTTGCAGGCATCTTCATGCCCACAGAGACCCCGCCACTCTCCTTTGCAGGCTGCCCTTCCAGGCCGTCAGGGCGCTGCCCAGGCCCACCCGACACATCTCTGGGCCCGGCATGGGCCTGGCCCACGTGTGTGTGTTCGCTGGCTCTGTTCCTCACTGAGAACAGCTCGCTGTGTTTGTGTAAACACCTGGCATCAAACTCTGCAGGAAAAAGCACAAGAAATAAGCACCAGGCCTGGCCCAGGCTCACCCCTAAGGGATGTGGTCCATCAGCAGCCGGGGCGTCTTGGGGGCCTCAGGTGTGGGTTTCCAGGGTCCTCTCAGATGGGCAGCCTTCCCAGGGGGTGGCCTGAGGCCCTGCTCGCTCAGCTCAGCTCTGGGAAGGACTCAACCGCACGTGTCGCTGTGCCTGGCATGGGCAGGATGCACTGCTTGTGCCCAGGGTCCTGGCTCTGGAACACAGGGCCCCGAGCGTCCCACTTCTGATGCTGCCCACCCATGGCCTGAGGTTTCTATGAGCCAAGGGCCTGGAGTCTCCCGAGGCTGCTGTCCTGGTGACTGGGTCTGACCATCTGCGAGGCTGTACTTCGTGGCTGCAGGTGGGATTCAGTTTCTGCAGGGCCAGGGCTGCAGCAGCCAGCATGGCCACAGGGAGGCCACCGTGAGGTGGGTGGCTTTCTGAGGGTCCCGGCCTGGCCCTTGCCTGTCGGGGAAGTGGGGCCTGGGTCCCAGCCACTGTGGTCTGTGCCTGGCATCTTCTTGTGGGTTCTCCCCAGTGGCAGAGGACAGCACCCCCGGGAGCACATGTCTCCACAGAGCCCTGCCCAGCAGGGGCTCTGGGGCTGTGGGTGCCGGCTCAGCCCAGCCAGGCTTCGTAGGATCTGAGCACAGGGAGAGCGGAGGGCGGCTGCAGGAAGCGCTGTCCCCCAGCCGGTGCCTTACTCCCTGCCTGCCAGCCTTTCTCAGCAGCTACTGGTTGTGCTCGGTGCCCACCGGATCTCTCTTGCTCTGTCTAGGACTTTCTTCTTTCAGATTTCCTAGATAAAAAGGAGTAATGTATCACAACCTACTCCTACAAACTCTGCCATTCAGGGTTTTGTCATAAAATACCGTGCAAGGCCCTGGGTTTCGGCCAAAGTCCTCACATCAGATAAATCAAAGATACAACTGGCATCATAAAATAATATACCCAAGCTATGGCCTCTCAAATAATGTTAATACAAATGCTGGTCTGCCATGAGCTGGGAATAAATATGTTATGTTTTTATTATGAAAAGAATACCGATTTACTCTGAAGTGTATACATAATACATAAAAATATAATTCCATGTTCATAAATACTGTGGTTTATATTGCTAGCTGTAAAAGGCATTCAATGTTTAATTAACAATAATTCTGAGAATATGTGGGATTGCTTTTAGGTGGCCCGGCATTGTATATCAGCCCAGCCCTCGGCCGGGGGGCTCAGGTGGGCCTGGTGGGGCCCAGCCCCGGCTGGGCCTGCGTGAGGCTCTACCCTGAGCTGCTCTCTGTGTTAACTCATTTAATCCTTTTGGCACCGGGAAGCACCGGCCGCCATCACCCCGACACAGGGAAGGGGTCAGGGTGACCCGAACTCCTGTCCTTCCTCCCACAGCGGGTGGGCGGAGGCAGGTGCGGTGAGGTGGCTCCTGGCTCGGCTCAAGGCTTACATGAAGGATGATAAATAATGAACGCTCCCCTCCTCTCCCTGAGCACTCTTTAATGCCAGAATAATTCTAATTTTCCTAATTAGGAAGGGCTTTGATATTAAGCTGCTCGGCAGGCGCCTGCTCGGTTCTGCGCCCTGCCTGTGAGCATCCATCAGTGATGAGCGGGAGCAAGAGATGGCCCAGCCGCAGCGTGGGGCCGGGTGAGGCAGAATCCAGGGCCGTACCACCCCTCTGCCCATCCTTGGACCCAGGCTGGTCACCGCCCTTCACAGGCAAGGCCACTTAGAGTGCGCAGCACCACAGCCGAGCGAGGCTGTGCGGAGAGATTCGAACACAGACCCCACCCCGGAGCCCAAGTGCCCTCCCTGCACCAGGTTCGCAGGACCCATACAACTGAAGCCCCCTGGTCCTGGGCTGTGTGCGAGGCCTGATCCCAGAGCAGGGCGGCTGCAGGACCCCCAGCTGCGATGGGCAGAGAGGAGAGTCCTGCTTCTTCAGCCACTGGTGAGACGGAAATGGGTCTTGTCGATCTAGAGAAGGAAAGGGACAGAGGGCAGCAGATGGCACTGTGTGCTATGCAGAGGATCATCCTCGTGTGCGCGTGTGTGTGCACGTGTGTGTGCATGTGCACATGTGTGTGCAGATCTGCCTCTACACATATGTAAAAGCCTGTGAGTATAAGCGCGTGCATAGAAGCGAGAGCTTGCATGTGTGACTGTGTCTCTAGGTGTGTGCTCAGGTCTGCATACGTGTGTGTGCATTTGTGCACTCATCCGTGTGCACGCCCCTGTGCCTCATTTCTCCACGCCAGCCCTCGCACTCGCCCCTACCCTTGCCGCCAGCTTTCCAGCTGCTGGATGCAGATGCTGACGCCCACGAGTCCAAGGAGGAGAGGCGGACTCGTTTATTCACTCAAATGGGCCAACAGTGCAACTTGATTTATTTATTTGGCAAGGTCACAAACTCCTGGCAGTCAGGACAGGCTTACGAGGCTTGTGGTTCCAGGACATGCAGTCCGTGGTTGGCTGCTCTAAGGCAGGGGTGCCACGGGAGAGAGGTGGAGGGGTGTGAGGAGCAGAGCCGCCCAGTCCGTGGGGTCATGAGACAGAGCCAGTGAGGCAGGGCCGGGGGCTGAATGCTGTACCAGGGTCATACCTCTGCCACGCACGCCGGCCCTGCGTCCCTAACCTAGCGGTATCCTTAATGCAAGGAACTCGTGGGATCTGGAGCAGTCATCACACCCCCCTGAAATCCTTCTACTGGGGGAGGAGAGAAAGGCAGGGAGGGGGAGACAGGCGTGACGCAGACCTTGGCTTCTGCCCGCCCTTGTCAGGTCCCCTCCACCTACTGTGTCTGTCTCTCTCCCTGTCACTCATTTTTCTGTAGGAGTTTGTTCACCTGGCCAAGAGACTGGTCAGTGAGCCTGCGCTGGAGAAGGAGCTCATAGCCAACGGCAAGGCCTACGTGAACAGGCTGCACTCCTGGGAGGTGGAGAGGGACACCTACCAGCACCTCATTCAGAAGCTCGAGGGGGACATGGAGGACTAAGGAGGCCACAGGACAGCGTGGGACACCGTGGCCCTACCCTCCTGTGCCCACCCTGCCACCCTACAGGTGCCTGCGTCTTGCCCAGGCTCCTGCTGGAGGTGCTCAGGGGCTGGGCTGGGGCCATGGGAGCCACCTCACTTCTGGGAAACCTGAGCCACCGCAAGGCAGACCCCTGCCCTGTCTCCGGGTGACTGACACCCACCGTGCCAGTGCCATCAGCAAAAGCCACGCCTGGGAGCGGCCATGGACGGGCTGAGGCCCACTCCTCACTGTCCATGGCGCGGAGGCAGGGTCTCTCTGCAGCCCCCAGGGCAGCACCCAGTACTGGGGAGGCACTTCTGGTGGCACCAGGTGGTGCCCGAGTCTCTGGGTCTGGGGTGGGCCGTCCCTCCTTTTCTGCCTTGGGGGACCACGGACAAGTGTCCTGCCGGTCACAGACTGGCCTGGCATGGCACTCCAGGGGACACTGGTACTGTGAGTGGCATGGCCATGTTCCCAGCCTCTTTTGATTCAGGGAGCTGGCAGGGAAAGTGCCCTGGTACAGGTTTCACTCAGACTTGGGGAACTGGGAGGGACGAGGCCCATGTGTCCCCTCCGTGGTGTGGCTTGTGGCTTCTCAGCCTCATTCTGGGAAGGCAGCAGAGCCAGCAGCTTGCCTTAGAGGCGCAGCCCCCATTGCTCCTGTTCTTGGATGCCTCTGGGAAAAGGTGCCTGAATCCTGAGCCACACAGCCCTCACCCTGCGCTGGGGTCAGGGACAGTCACATTTCAGGAAGGTGGGCATGGGCCACACTCCTCCCAGCAGGGCAGTGCCCCTTTCTCTTGGCTTCAGGGCTGGTGTAAGCGGGAGGGACAGGGCCTCGGTCCTGAGTCTAGAGTAGCCAAGGCCGCCCTGCGAGAAGCCCCCGGGGTCCGTGTCACGGAGACCCCCTGCACCCATGCTGTGTTTATTTCCTGGGGGACAGGATGGGCGCCGCCGTCCGGCGTGGCCGGCTGTACCCTGCACACACCCAGTCGCTCTCAGGTTGGAAGTGAATAAAGTCTGTCACCACGTACCCCACAGCAGTCCTTTGTTCCTGCAGGAAGCCACCTGTGCCAGGGTGGGCCACACTGGCCTGGCCCATGTGGAAGAGGAGAGGCAGAGGCTGGGAGTCCCCGAGGGGCTGCAGGACCACCAGGTTTCCTCGACGTGTGAACCTGGGTGGCCGCAGCAGGGGCAAGGGTCACTGTACTGTGGCTCTCTGTGGCGAGGTCCCATCTAGAACAGGCCCTGAGACCTAAGAGGGGAACCTCAGATCCATAGTCCCCATCCAGGGCAGGCCGCCAGGAAGAGTCCCCAGGTCCCCCCTAAAGGCCATGCCCCTCAGTAGCACCCCCCGGGGGCCCAAAGCTTTACATCCAGGCTTGTGGGTGACTCTCAAGGTCCAAATGAGCCTGGCCTGCTAGTGTTTGCCTGTAACCCTTGCACTCCGGGGGTAGAGGCAGGAGGGTTGCAAGTTCGTGCCTAGCCTTAGTGAGATTCTGTCTCAAAAAAAAAAAGATAAAAAGGGGTTTTTTTTTTTTGTTTTGTTTTTTAAGGAAACAGGCTGGCAAGTTAATTAAATGAGAAGGCCCTGGGTTTTGTAAACCTACCTCATAAATCCTTTATTTATTTTTTTTTAATTTTTATTCATTTATTTGTGTGTGTGTGTGTGTGTGTGTGTGTGTGGCCAGCTCAGCCCACCAGGGGGCGGGGCTGGCTGGCATGTGGTGCTGGGGGATTGAACCGCGGTCCCTGTGCTCTGCCAAGCTTGTTCTAAGTAGGTGCTTTAGACCACTGAGCCATCTCACCAGCCCTCATAAATCCTTTATATAGAGAACCTTAACTGATATACCAAATGAGGACACTTACAACAATCAAAGAAAAAATTACTTTTCTTTGAGACAGGACCTCACTAGGTAGCCAAGGGCAGCCTTGAACTCTTGGACCTCCTCCTACCTCAGCCTCCTGTGTGCTAGGGTTACGTTCGTGAGCCGCCATACCCAGCTGATGCATTTAGATAGCAGGTAAAGGTGCCTTTGAGCCAAGCAGGACTAATTTGGAATGCTGTCAATTCAGTAGGCTGGGGCCTACACGATTCTTGGGCAAGTGTGGGGACCTGGGTTCCATCCCCAGTGCCTCCTGCCTCGCCGGCCCGCCCCCAGGAGCGCTGAGCCCTGGAGACCAGACCTGGTGGCGCAGGCCTATAATCCCAGCTCTGGTGAGGCTGAAAACAGAGGATCACTAGGAGTCCCAGTTGCGTAATGAGACACTGTAACAAATACATAAACTAAAAAAAAATTTCAATATGCTGATTAAAAGCAAGATCAAGATGACTGAGTTTTAAAAAAAGACCCAAAGTGGAGCACAGAGCTGCTGAACGGTGCTTGCGCAGCGTCCTGGCTGGTCTCGACACGGTCAGCCCAGCCGCATCAGCGCTGGCGCAAGGAGCCCACGGGCAGTCCTTGTTGGCCTCGGCGCCACGGGGGACTCGAGCAGGGCCCAGGATTGCACAAAGGAAGGCCATTCTACAGAGAGGCTCGATGGAGCTTTTTTTTTAAAAATTGTTCTCTAAATTTTTAAAAATAATTTTGTTCATTTTAATGAGGACTGCGCTTTTGTACTGAAAAATGAACCCGAAATTGAGAAAATCGGTTCACTCTGTTTAACCAAATTTAGTTGTGTAGACAGTTGAAATCATGAGAATAGAGCCCAGAAATACTCCTCGCGCACGCATGCGCACACATGCTAGCTCGCACACATGCTAGCACACACACGCGCGCGCACACACACACACACACACACACACACAGGCTGCTCACCCGTAGCATTCCCGGGTCCCCACCGCCGCGCCTGCCCTCTGCTCGGCCGGCTGCGGCCTTCTGCCCACGCAGCCTCGTGCTGCCGGCGGTCCTGGGGCTCTTCCGCGCCCGCGTCGTCAGCCTCCCAATTCCTGTTTGTTTTCCGACGTTTTCCACCCTATTCTCCCTCACACTGGGGTGATGTTAGCGTTTTAAAGGCTGCAAGCGACTCTTTCGTCATGAGGATCGACTTGACACGGACTGGGAGGCTAAATGCCCTGGCCACACGGACCGCCAGCTGCATCTGTGTGGAGCAGAGGCCCAGAGGCGCTGCTGCGGGTGACACGGGGCCCAGCACACAAGACTTTGGCCCCCTTGCTCAGTCCGTAGGTTGCCTCCCTGCTCAGAAGTCCAAAATACACAGTCGTGTGTACAAGAGAGGCGGGCCTGTCGCCCTAAGTAGAGTGCGCCGCTGCCTGGGTCAGTTCCTCACCGCCGGCACACGGTATCTCCAACACCCAGGACCCTCGTGGGTGATGGAGGACTCAGGCCATTGTTGGCTGCTCCGAGGCAGGACCGCAGGGCGAGAGGGCCTGCGGAGCACCCCTGCACACACTATGGGGACCAGGAAGCCAAGAGAGAGGGGAGGAGTCCCGAGGTGGGGGCACCCACAGGCCACCCCCCAGGGACCGCCTCCTGGCAGCATGATCAGCTGCGGGTTATCCGTGGATGAGCACAGCGTTCTGGGGGCCAGTCACCTTCCCAAAGCCGCACCACTGAACACAGGAGGCTTTGGGGGACCCCAGCTCTACAGCTGGGCACCATCTAAGCCGGGCTCCTCCATGGGCCCTGAGACCCACCACCCCTTCCTGAGGGCTGTAACCCAAGCCTCACCCTGAGGCAGTAGCACAGACGCATGCCGTGGGCCAGAGCAGAGGGCTCCTTCTCCCTCGCATGGCAGGTCCGGCCTGCACTTGACCTCCCATGGCCAAGTTGGCTGCAAGGCAAGGCTGCACAAGGAGGTTTTTGTTCCAAGCAGCCACGCGCAGACTGAATGGACCATCGGGACCTGTAACAGAGAAAGAAGGGCGGGTGCGTGTTTGGGGTGGCTCCCTGTGACCTGACCGCAGCTCTTGAGATAAGCTGGTTGTAGGTTCTGGCTGTGGTTCCAGGATCCTCCTTGGTATTCATCACTGAATACCCCTTAGTGCCGAGAATGGTGTTTCCTGTGTGTCTCAGTCAGCCCTGAAGGTCACCACGACTCAGGGCATCTTCCTCCTCCATGTACTCATTTGTATTTCAGCTCCACCAGCTTGTTGTGTCAACACCTCCAACCTTGTGGGTTCTAAAGAACACTTAGTGTAACAGCACATGAAACAAGCACGTTGATGAGGCGTGGACACTCGGGTCTCTCCTGGGTGAGTGGGGGGGAAACCCATAACACAAATGCTTGCTGTTTTCCTCATAAGACAAGAGATATTGGGATGGCGAGATAGCTCAGCAGACTAAGTACCTGCCCAGGCAAGTGCAGGGACCAGGGTTCGATCCCTGGCACCACATGGCGCGCCAGCCCCACCCCCAAGTGCGCTGAGCCAGCCACGGAGACCGGGTGTGGTGGTGTACGCTTGTAATCCCAGTGCTGGGGAGGCTGAAAACAGGAGGATCACTACAAATTCTAGTTGCATAGTGAGACCCTGTACCAAATACATTAAAAAAGGATGTTAATGTATGAGCTGCTTTTGTAAATGGAAATCTCAGAATTCTGGTTTAATTGCAGTGATGGTCTTTGCCATGCTAAGTGGGCTTTGGGTGGCCGCTTCCAGTACTCATCGCTAAGAGGTTCGCCACCACTGGTCCAGATGTTCTTGGTGGCCACCCAGGTGAGGGTGTGTGCACATTGTCACTTGGGGGCAGGTCTTGGGCATGGACATCATTCTGAAAGGGCTGAGAGTCAGAGTCTGACTGACACTGACCACTGGCTGCAGCTGGTGCAGAGCTGAGCACCCAGAGGTGCTGCTGACGACAACACGGGGCTCAGTCAGCAGTGCCTGGGCACTGGCCTCACACGGCAGGCTGGCTGGGCACCCGGCCTTGTGCGACCCATCCTTCCTGCACACAAGACTTTGGCCCCCTTACTCAGGGGACCTCCCGTTGGAGGTTGCCTCCCTGCTCTGCTCCGAGACCTGGAGCTGGGTCTCCAGCAGGAAGGTGCAGACGGTCCTGGTCTCCAGGGCTGACTTCACTCTGGGTCCCAGGGGGCCTGGGTCACTACTCTTCCTGGATGCACCATTGGGGTCGCTGGGTCAGACCCCGTTCTTAAGGCTGCGGGTGCAGCTGCCAGCAAAGCAGCCATCCCCTGGAAGGCCGGGCCCTGCTGGAGTCTCAGGGGGTGCAGACGCCAGTGTGTGCTTTTGACCTGGACCGAAGGAGTGAGGGCCCCAGACCTCCGGGGATAGGAAGCCTGGCAGCATCTCCAGAGAAGCCCCCACCCAAGCGCCACCTAGATTTTCTGAGCCATCCCCTCCCTGTGCAGGGGCTTTGGGTGGAAATGAACACATGGAACGAGTGTCGGGGTGGGGGTGAACAGCAGTGAAAGGACATTGCAATCTGGGTTAAAGTGGTTATTTTACAACCTAACCCTCCTTTAAGACCTCTAAGCAGTCCTTGAACAGCCAGGCAGAGACAGATATCTTTTGGGGAAAAGAAAGATCTAACTCTGCTGCATTACAAAAGCTCTGTCTCTAACAAAGAAAAGCCATCAAGGCCAGCTCAGCCCTGCAGGAATGGCTGGGAAGTCCCCAACCTGTGGGAGCCTCAACCCTCAGACAGCCTCGCTGCCACCTCGGCAAATGGACCTTACCTTCCATGTCTGCAGAAACCTCTCAATTTCAGAGTTATCTGGAAGAAGCCTGCAAAGCCTCACATTCTGCCAGGCCTCACTTTCTGTGCTGCTTTCCCGGCCCCAGTCCACGTGAGTCTCCATTATGTGGCCAGCAGCCACGGGGATGCTGACTTACAAAACAGCCGTGAGTCGGACTCAGTTGCTACCAAGTGGGGCTTCCGCTCCAGTCCTGTCCCCTGCAGCAAGGTGGATGGAAGCCCCACTGCATGCCAGGTGCCCTGTGCGCATCCCGAGGGTGCTGGCAGGGTGGAGCCCCATCTGCACCCTGGCACACGGG